CCCCGTCAGGCGTGCGCCGCATAGTGCGTACAATTCCCTGTGGGAATGCTCTCGGGGAGGGAGAAACTGCCCGCGGAGCAGCTGGGGCACAGCCCTGTGGGGCTCTGCCATGTTCTCAGGCACATCCCCGCCATGTCACGTTCCCCTCTGGGCAGTCAGGGTCCGCCGTGCCTCGGAAAGGTGGTTCGCAGGGGGTTGGAAGTGTGTTCCTAGCCTGGGTTTGGTTTTATTTTATTGGGAAAGTCACCAGAACAATAGGAAATACTGGTAACTTCTGGTTTTCATGGTACTGTTTTTCAATTCCCTTAGCAAGCCTGCCCCAGAGCTGCTGAATGAGTACTCTCGCAAAGTGGACTTCCTAAAGGGACTTTTAGAAGCTGAAAAATTGGTAAGATCTAATTCAGCTTGAAAAGACTTAAGTATTCTCTGCTTATATTCACCTTATTGCCTGGTTTCTATGCTCGCCTCTATCTTATGTCTCAAAATAACACTTGTCAAAGTCTCATCAGGCAGTCCTTGTAAAAAAGTGAATAAATACATTGGATTTTTGTGTCTTTTTAAAAGGGGGTATTGTATGAAATCTGAAGCTTCTTTCCTCCTTTCCCAGAGCAAAGTACATCTCGCCTACATCCTTCTCACTTCTTTGTGAGATAGGGGGCAGGTACTGTGCTTTAGGCCAAACACCTCTTTTGGACAGTACCATGTGCGTCTGGAGAGCTATGAAATGCCAATAAGCTTCAACCGCAGTTAGTGCGGATACAGTCAGTGCTGTTTTTCAGACTGACTTTGCTGTGTTGTGGGAAGCAGCTGTGGAAGTGCTCCCGGCATCCTTGTTGGTCACACATTCAGGTGGCCTCACTGCAGAATGTGATATTCGTGACTTTTCATTGTTTCTTCCTGCTCACAGTCTTCATCAACTGAAAAGGCTCTGGCAAATCAGTTTTTGGCCCCTGGACGTACCCCTACAACAACCAAAGAGAGAACTCCAGCTACTAAAACAGTTCATCTGCAGACAAAGGCTCGTTGCACAGGCAAGATGAGGAGTGAGCTGCTTAGTACAGTACGTTTTGGTGCTGCTGCTGCTTTTACTGCTGTTCTGTAGATTGTTTCTTGTTGCATTCAGCTGCCTTTGGTGGCTGTGCCTCAGATGTGTCCCAGGCTGGGTGGGAAGTCACAATTTTCTGGTTTGGGTGGTCTAAATACTGAGCACAGGTACTAGGCTAGGCCTGGAGGACTGTCTTTTGTCACTGGCCCTTTGTAATCTTCTGTTTCGTTTCTCTTTTTGCCTGCCAGGACCCCTTGGCTATCGATGGTAAGTTTAATCTGTTGTTTTCTCTAACTTTAGTTAACCTGAGTCTTACAGGGAGAGAAGGAGGAAGGTCGAGTATTAGAGACTGGCCAAAGTGTACTTTTAATTTTGTAGCTCACTTCTTTTCAAGATAGCAGACTTCAAAAACAAACAAAACCAAAAACCCTAACAGATGGAAGCCTAAGTGTTATTATCAGTATGGTAGCAGGGACTTGTAGGAACCTATTTTTCTAGAATTTGTACAGAAACAGGCATTCTAATTATAGAACTAGCAAGGACAATTTACTTTTATTGTTGTTCCTGTTCTCTTCTGCTCCGAGCAAATAATGTGATTTTAGACGCTTAAAGGCGTTGTTCAATTCCTCTTAAATATACAGCCATGTTATTCATGCAGGGAACTGGTAGGAATTAATTTGTGGTTTCCATAGCTACTGTTACAGTGGCTGGAGCTAGGCCAATCTAACGTGTCCTGAAAGAGAACACCAAGACACATAGGCTTAAACCAAGCCCTCAGGGATATGATTCATCTGTTTTTTCTCTCCACCATGCCTTTGATGTTATGTGTTGTCTTTTCCCTGTGGAAAACGGGTAGGCATTTGAAATCCATATTCCCTGGGGTAGAGGGCCAAGTAGGATTTGGACATCTGAAAATGCCTTCCAGAAAACTTGCTTCTTCAGCCTGAAATTGCATGGGAGTATATAACCTGCTAAAACACAACTTTATGTCTTTTTTCCAGATTCTGAGGAGTTAAACATAAGAAAGCGGAAGTAAGTCAAAATTTCTCATTCTGATGCTTTGTGTTTTGGGAGCTGCTTTCCCTATGACCTTCAAATCACAGATGTATTTCCATTTGAGTGAAGTGCCTGCTGGTAGAAACCAAAGTATAGCAACTTCAGCTGATCTAACTGTTCCTCTTGTCTTGTCAGAGTTGCAGAGTCTGGGGATACCTTGGGAGATGGACCCACAAGGCAATACAAATCCCAATTTTTTTCCCTTATGCTCTTGCAGAGGCCTTGCATCTGATGAGAAGCAGTCAGCAGTCGAGCTGGATGCTGTGTTACAGCACCATCAGGATATGCAGGAGAAGTTAGCTGAAGAAATGCTAAGTTTGGCTCGCAGTCTCAAAAACAACACTCTGGCTGCACAGAATGTGATAAAACAAGATAACCAGGTAGCGCATGTTAAAAGTGTTAACCTCTCCATTTTGCAACCCAGAAGGTTAAAGTGCTGATATGTTAAATACTATAACTTGACTCCAGGGGAGATTAGAGTGGGGAGACTTGGAGGCAATAGCTGTCTGCTTCTGTAGTACAATCAAACCTTTCCTCTCTTGGAAGAAATAGTGGTCAGAAGTTTCAAATGTGCGTTTGATACCCACCGTTCTCTTTGCTCCCCAGACACTATCGCATTCTCTCAGGATGGCAGACCAGAACTTTGAGAAGCTCAAGGATGAATCTGACCGCCTCGAACAGCACGCGAAGAAATCAGTCAACTGGCTGTTATGGATAATGTTAATTGTGGTTTGTTTTATATTCATCAGCATGATTCTCTTTATCAGGATTTTCCCCAAACTAAAATGATTTTTTTTTTTAAACTGCCAGAGTGCAGTTGGAAAGCTCAGCTGCTATGATAACTGTCAGCAATCAGTATCTTTGCCACCTATCATGTCCTTAAGGAGGCTGTCCAAGCCCTACCCTTGCGTCTGTTTCTTGCGCAATCACTGGATTCAGGGAAGGGTTTCATCAGGAAAGCTTTCTACGCTTGGCTACTTGGTTACTTTTTCACTTAGTTAATATTGCTGGCTATCGAAGGGAGAACTGGGATAAAGATGGCAATTTATGCTCAGCTGCTGACAAGTTCCTCAGTGGATAGATACAGTCCTGGTTTTAATGTGGCTGTGGCAAATGTTACAACATCTAAACAGGTGTTTACTTAATAGGAATATAAGGAACAGCTGAAGTCTTACAATTTTTCCTGTGCTTACAGCTTTGCCATGCTGAAGTAGGACCTTGCTGCCAACAGGATATTTAATTGCAAAGTTACATACATGCAGAGCTGTAGGGTGTAGGAAGAGAACGCTGCCATGGAGTCGCTTGCCTGGCTCAGATTCAGAGAGTATCAACAGGTAAAACTATTCTCAGGCTCACTTTTTTCCCAGATGAGTATTTGGGACTTTGGACTCTTCTATAGAAGAGCTGAAGTTGCTTGCTGTTGCAAAGTTTGCTTCCTTTTTTGTGTGTGCAAATGTTCTCACTCACTCGTCTGTTATGTTGATGCTGTTGCATCAAGAAAACACTGTGGCCCTGGCGACATGGAAGTGTGCACACAGTCCTCTCCGTATGGGATAGACCTCACCTGTACAAACATTTTTTCATTGTTAGGTGAGGGAAAAGGAAGCTGATGTCTTCAAGACAGACATAATAAAAAAAAAAAAAACAGCCTTCATCTTTTGAAACAAGTTATTCCAGTCAAGAGTGTCCGTGTCAAATTTCTATTCTTAAGAGATCACTACAATAAAGCAGATAAAATAAACTAGAATGAATATTCTTAAAACCCTGCTACTGCTAGGAAAATTCGGAGCCTGCAGTAAAGTCAAGGTTTGTTGTAACAGTGTAGGAACCATTTTGAGGTGCTGGTGATAAGCTAAAAGCAAACTATTTGTCATCTGTGCTGTCTTGTGGAGTCTCACCCTGGAGAGCACTGGTGTTCAGGTGTGTAGTTTCCCGCGGAAGTGAGGAGCAGCCGGTACTCCCCACGTTCTTTTGCCATTTCTGTTGCTGTTTTGAACCACTAGATGGGTGCTGTCGGCCGGTCTGTCTGTCTGTCCGTGCCCACAGCAGCCCTGGGTGAGAGGAAGGAGGAGTGGAAGAACAATTTGTCACAACAATTGAGTTCTGAAAACCCAGCTGCTTCTTTGCAGGCATCCCAGAGTAGCAGGCTCTGTTTCAGAGTTGCTCTTTGTTCCGTACAAAACCAGCTGTGCTCATGAAGACAGCTAACATTTTGTGCATAGAGCATTTTTGTTCATTTAACAGGATGTTTGCAATTCCATAGGTCATTCGCTTGTGGATTATCACGAGTGATTATGCTATGAAGTACAGCTTTGAGCAAACTTGTTACTTACCTTGAGCTTTATAGAAATTTATAGTTGGAGCAATCCATTTATGGACACTTCTGCTTTTCCCAGAAGGTTTTCTTCAACTGTGATGTTTGGCATTTCACTGTGCTTCATTAGGGAATGCTGTGTCACCAAATTATTTTTTGATTCTACTTGTTTACTGCTTTCCCTGCAGACATTTCGGTACTGAGCTCTTCTTTTTAGAGCAGAGTTCAAAGGTAGTGCTGGAATGTTCTGTGCATGTGAGATGTTAGAAGGATACAACATTAATGTTTCATAGTCTGTAACATTTTATCCTTTATTACTTGAAATAAATCTTTTTTTCCAGTTTACAAAAGACTTGGTGCATCACTGCAGACAAGTTGAAAGCTGAATTTTGCCATCAGCCATGTGTTGGCTCTATTTGGCACTTAGAAAGTAGAAGTTCAATTGGAAATACCTGAAAGGGAACTATTAGTGACAGCTTGCCCCCAAGAAAATACCCACCTCAAGTCAACACAAATTCTTTTACAAAGAATCCTGCTGGGAAATCAGTTCAGAAACATGGTATTTAACTTTTGACCGTGGACATTCCATGGGTGTTTGTTATTTCGGAGGATGAACTGCCAGAACTGAGATTGCATCCTGTAACTCCTAACACCTTTTGGGATATCTCACCTGACCGTTGGGCACGGTGCCTCCAGCACTGCGCCGAGCTTCTGCTTACCTCTGACCCGGCGGAGGAATGTTACCTTCTGCCCTGGCGAGCCGAAGGGATGAATTGCCTCAGTGGCCAGCAATCTCCCTGCACACAACGGCTGGTTTGGCAGCTGGCAGTTGCAGTCTTTGCTTCTCTTGAGTTCCTTTAGTAATTACAGTCATTCAAAAACACTCCGCCCGTAGTATTTAGCATAAACGATCACTTACGGCTTTGTGACGCTGCATAGATGGAGAGACAGGTTTTATTTCTGACTGATGTTTGGGGGATGGTGGTTGTGTGATCTGCTTTAGCCCTCAGATCCGTTTCTCGTGCTTCTCCCTACAGACTAACGTTACATACAGAAGCGGTTTTCTGTGAGAGCTGCAAACACTGTGATGTGAGAATTGCTTAACTTTTCCAAAAGCTTGAGAAATCTAGATGGAGAGATGTTTATCAGGCATAGGGCTGGGCCTTGGTTGGCTTCTTGGCAGACTACCTCCTTTCAGACAGCAAGTAAAAAAATAAATATGTAAAAAAACCTTTTGGAGACTTGGGTCATGTCAGGCTGGTGAGTGCACCATTTCTGAGCCTGGCAGCAACAGGAACTATGGGTCAGTCTAAGCTTTTCTGGCAAACATCTGTAGTGACAGAGGTGCCTTGTATTACAATATACTTACTGTTTAAGCTGCGTCCTCAATCAGGGCTAGATTCGATGTCTTGAAAGGATTTTTTCCAGTGGACAGGCTGCCAGTAAGGGTGCGTGAATGGCAGGAGCAGAGCACTACACAGTGGCTCCTGTGGCTGGGTAACACCAGCTTGGTTTGGGTGTATGTTCCCCAGGCTTTGCGTTACAAAGTGTATCAGACTTCATAGGCTGTGAGCAGCGTTCCAAAACTGGCAGAAAAGGGCTGTCTTCAAAGAGGGGAAACAGAGTGAACAGACCAGGGTTCTGCTCCTGACCGTTCACCTTGTGATTCTGGGCAAGCCACCTCCGTTCTCACTGATGGCTGTAAACCTGGAATGAAGCCTGAGAAGTAAAGTCTTATGATTAATAGTTACAAGCGAGGAAAAAAAAAAATGACTGTGATAATAGAGCAGATAGGAGCAGAAAATAATAATCGAGTTCTTGCTCTGCAGCAGCGTGCAGATGCCATTCCAGAGCCTTCCAGCCCTGCGCAGGGCTGGCTGGTAGCTCTCGCCCTAATGTGCCACGTTGCTGAGGTTTGGTGGGTGCTCACCGTGTGTTGCCACTGACCAACAGTGACGTTAAAACCCGACGGAGCTAAATCAACACCCGGCACATCACACCGCCGCGACGTTGCCGGCACGAGCGCCACCTCCTACGAGGAGATGGAAGTGGGAAGCAGCAGCAGTTGGTGGATAATGGATCAGATACGCCTGATTTGCATCATTTGCACAGAAAGGGCGTGTCTCAGCTATGGAACAAACTGCTTATCAAAACGGGACCTACAAGTTGTGTCTCCCAAAATCCAAAATGGGAGATAAAGCAGCGTGGAACATACATTTTGCTGAACTGTGCTGCCCAGAGGGCTGTCCCTCCACATTTGAGGGACATCAGCAAAAACGTGCATTGGCACAAAGAAATAAAAAAAGAGACAAAGAAGAGGGGGGGGGGGCTGGGGGTGGGGAGCTGCAGATCAGAACAGG